CCAATCGGATTCATTATGTTATTGGCACATGACGTAATCAACCACCTAATTATTATCGCGTATCGTGAAGTTTACAAAACTTATGATTCTCTACCTAATTATCTTTCCAATTATTAATTCTTCATTGGAAAGACTAGAAGTTACTGATAGGTCTTGCTAATTGAACGCTATATTCGGTTCCTAAACTATTCTCGCAACCCCCTAGCTAGAGCTGTACAGCGACCTGAACACAAGAGAAAAGGCGCAAAATATACGAGTACTTTACTCCGAAGGTTCGTTTTATTACAGAAAATATAGGGTTTTTATAGTATTTTAGATGTCCTTGGGTTTCCCGAAAATTCTGGAATGCTACTAAACATAGTAGCAGTATAGTAATCAGCCAATCAGAAACTCTACACGTGACTTTTCACTTTCCTGGTGTTTCTGGCTAAACTTCAACTGAACGCTGATAGGATAAAATGCTTCTTAGTGTTTCGTGAACCTTTCTTGTCTTTTGTGAGAAGTTTTCTGGATCACCCCAACAGTTACACATTCAACTGTATTACTCTATGTTTTAAATCTGATGCACTGGCTTCAATACCTTATAAACCCTACATTGATTAGGGCATATAGACTGAGTGCCTATTCTATTACTGATACGAGATTAATACGACAGTCAGAAGACCTAATGAAATTCCAATTCGTCAACACTCTGATGGTTACTTAACACAACACACGACAAGAATATGAGAGATTGACTTTTTGCAAGAATGGTTTAATTATCCCTAGAGTTGGCTAGTATTATCGGATATGACTTTTAATGAATTTATTTGTAACTTATTACCAGGCTACTGGTCGTACTCTGACGTGTATTCCGCGTGATCATCTTCCTGATGAGTTTTTCTCCCTAACGAAAGAAGAATTTCGTAAATGTTACGATCATCAACATCGAATTATAGAAGAAGGTCGTATGTTACTTACTAAAGCCATGAGAGAACGATTAAAAACGCAACATATGAAATCGTTTCGTTACGCTGTTATTCGTGTTCGGTTCCCGGATAACCTTCTTCTTCAGGTTTGTGCTTCTCCTTTTTTACTGAATTGTGTTTATTTAGTCAGTTATAGTTAACGTTACATGTTACAGTCGTTTCTCTAAAAACATTTTATCCACAGTCTTTAAACGTAATGTACTAATTTTCATGCTTCATCTTAAACAATCTGTAGATCTCTGATTTGTGCATAGTGCAGAAAAGAAAACATGAAATGTCAATTATGGTAAATAACTATATCTAATACATCCATAAAAACCATATGGTTCGTTTATCACTTATTGTCGATGTTTGGCAACTGAATCATTTCAAATTGTTTGAATTGAGAACTGACTGTTCACTTATAGAATAATTTCATTCATAGTCAGCAGTGCATCTGTCTATCATATGAGTTAAAAGTTTGCTTTTTGCTACTTTGAGGTTATTAAATATTGCTTTGAAGATATACGAAAGTTTCTGGTATTTGATGGTAGGTCTCTTCAAAGCACAACAAAGCGTGGTGTTACCATTCAGTAAGCAATCCCAAAGTCAGTTTTATCTTAGTAGATAAGAATGTGAAACTGTTTGCCTAGGCTGTGAGCATTCATCGGTATAGGTAGTTGGAGAATGTTTTACTCATGTTCATGTTGACATGTGAGCCTATTTGTTGTGTTAACCATCATAAAAAGTAGATTGAAAAAAAGCCATGGATTGGCAAGACTGAAATACATTATCAAGTCATGAAACTACAAAATATGTGACTGTGTATGTTGGACAGTGGAAATTTTGTGGTTGGGATCTACGAAGTAATTGGTCTCCAGAGTTGGATATCTTTACAATGATGCAGGTGCATACACTTTTTGTTTCCCTGAAGTCTTCAGGTGTTATTTTAATTTCTCTTTCATTTCCTTGTTCCACTCGTTCTTTTTGAACTGTATTACTATACCGTAGTGAACAAGAACACGAGTGGGGACAACCGAATGTATTCAGCACTAAATTACAGAGTTACTCGATAAAATAGAAAAACCATATAGCAAGTCGTTAATTTGCAAAATATCAATCCATCATATCAACCTGGACTGTTCCTGTTGCAAACATCAATCCATTGTCTCACATTTCATTGTTCATGCGTTTCCTTACAAATTGCATTGTGTTCCCGCTCTTCCTTTCTTGATCTTCCCCCATCTTCTGCTGCCGGACATTACGTTTTATAACTCGTGTTATATACTACTTATACCAATATAAGCAGCACACACCACAATACTACTTCGTGTTTTAATCCTGTTGTTGGGTTGATAGGAAGCGTGACAACAGTGAACTGATTGATGTGTTCTAGGTCCACCATGTGTTGTTTATGATTGGCTGGTCTTATTTATCTCAGATAAATTATACTTCACCGACGTTCTTATTAATTACTCGTACTTTATACGCTGACAGTTTTGTTGGACGGTCATCAGAGAATTTCTTTGACCTGAATTTTCTAGACAATATTCAGCTTGTTGAAAACCAAGGGAATTTATAAGGATTTTGTAGAACAGTAGGGTTTAAGTAAGAGGGACGCTAAACACTAAAGGTTAATATTATTAATTCGATTGGAGAGGGGCAGGTGTGTCGCAGCATTAGTCTATAATGATAGTTATCATAGTCACCCACCTACAAAACAATAAAGTCGTTTTCGCAAGCTTAAAGATAAGACGTCGGTCACGATCGTGATTGATTATATCGGTCAACAAAGTTTCAATCAATCACTGGATTTCTTTCGAACTTTTCGCATTCTTCACATAGTTATGCACTGAATTTCCAGTGATACATCATTATGTAAAAAACCATTTTATATTGTAGGTATCATTACCAAGGTTTGACTTGGTAATTTCGAATAAATTGAGCATTGGGTAGATTATTATAAATAAATTAATCAATATATTTATAATATCCCAATGCGTAGACAAATTGAATTTTCTGACGCTTTGTGACTTAGTGTAAGCCACTCCTTCAGAGAATAAATAACCAAATCGAAATTAATCCAAGTTTTATTCATTTTATATTATTCACCGTGCATTTTGCACATGGTTAATAAGAATTTTTGTTCTGTTACTTTTCAGGGTACATTTTATGCTATGGATAAACTTTCAACTGTTCGACAATGGATTTCTGAATGTTTAGCTAAGCCTTATTTATTTCGATTATATGCCCCACCAAGCATTCAAACAGCCACACTTACGAATGCGCCTCCGACGGTGCCTGTTGAATTAACCGATGATAATCTTAGTTTAAGCGAAGTAGGTTTAGCGCCTTCCAGTTTAATCAATTTGACCTTCATTGATCGTATACAACAAGAAGCATCTGGGACTAGCGTTTTACGCTTTGATTTAAATCAATCGGTCGAAGACATTTAGAGTATTTTCATCATTTATATTTCTTCTGTTTCTTTATTCCACATCTGCTTACTACTTTATACAAGAGAGAGAATAATTATTTAAATGCGCCTTGTTTTTGCTATTTCACATTGTGTTGTCAACTACTTATTCAGGGACTTACAAAAACTTTACGAAATATGCATATATATATATATATATATATATATATATATATATATATCATTATCACCTGTTTAAACTGTGATATTCATCCATCAAAAAGTTTACTATTTTTTATTAAAAACTTCTTCCTACACCCAACTAGGCATTTGGTTTGTGTGAGGATTTATGTAATTGTTTGTTCATTCATTATAACTTCAAGATTATCTTCAACTTTTTCATGTGTCTGTATGACGATGAATTAGTCCCATTCAATAGAATGTAAGATATGATTCTCATCTCACTAACATCATAAGGGAAATAATTGTCTTGAAATATCTTCTTTTTAAGTATCGTTTGAATTGATATTGATGTTCATTTTTAACTCCAAGCAGTGTATATATCATGCTGTTACTATTGTTTCAGTCAGTCACAACGTAGAACCTGGTACGTGTTTACATCGGCTCGATTTGCCAGACCCCTTTAGCACGGAGATGAAATTAATCCAAATCCCAGAGTAGTAGAGGTGGTAGTACAAAATATTAGGTATCGAAGGTATGATTCAAGAAATTATAAATTAGTTGAATTAAAGCCAGAAAAATTATGATGAATTCAAAAGCTTTGGATTTGGGGAAGGCAAAGAACGGATGCACCTGCACTATTGCAAACGATTTTGAGCCATTTCATTCAAATTATTATTGCTTACTGATACTCACTAATGATGAACACTTCGAACCTTCTAAACGGTCATTTCCGCAAAATTAGGAAACACAGTCTTGGCAAATACATAATTCTTGGTAATTTATTGTCAAAGTCCCAGCTAACACTTAAAATCGGTTGCTTATTAATTGAGGGTAATCAACCTGAAGCCTGGTATCAAATTTCTGTTAGCTTCTCATTTGTGTCAACAACCCTAAAGAAACTAATGCTTCGAACAAGTATTAGTCATTTGTCAGTTGGAGACAATGGGACTGAGGCATTCAGCCCATAGGTAATTTATTTACGTCGTATTTACAGTAATTGATTGCTCAGTAGTAACCTACATCATGATTCCTAGTCCTTAGTACTAACTAGATTCTGTTGATCGAGTTTCAATATGAAATTCAGGTTAATGAACTTTATCGGCGGTAAAACCTCTGAAAGTGGTTTAAGCACCAATTTTTCAGGATTGTCGATGAATTGTGAAGTTGAGAATGGTTGTATTAAGGAATCTGTTTGTCATTTTCTAGTCGACCTATTGTGGTTCGTCAAATGCGGAATAATTCACCTGATTTTGATATACCACTGATTATTTAACTACTCAGACGTATGACCAGATAACTTAGTTAACGAGTCAGCCAGCAACTCCCTTCGTGGTTCGGAAAAAATTAGTACACAGATGTTTTTCGATTGTACTCGGTCGATAGTAGACTTATAGTAGGTAGAATCAAGGGATTCATAGTGATTTATCAAATAGTGATAACTAAAATAGTTAATTAATTAATTAGATGTCTTCCATAGGTGTATGTAATTACCATCCCAGAATTAAACTCAAACTGTGAAAAAATCTACATTATTACATTCAACATACAGATAGACTACTAATATGTATAAGAATATTTAATGACTGATTCCTTTGAATACGTTGTAAATAGTATTGTTTATTACGGGAAAGAAATCTTTCTATGTTATTACTATTACTACTATTGTTGTTTTGAATTTCTACACATCTACTGCCACACCATGATTAACATGTTATAGAATAAGCTTTTTTTTAAGAAAAGAGACATATCTACTCCTTTTGTACAAATGTTGTTTATTGTTCAACTGAACACAAAAACATTTACATTTTTTCAACTGTTTCAATTCCAAGTATATCAAATCCACATTTCATTACTCGAGCAGTAGCTTCACATAATACAATACGTTCTTTATTAATTTGAACATCACCTAAAGTGAATGAATAAATAAAGATCCACATTACAAACAGTAAAATGCAAATTGTCGAAAAGTGAATGAATCATTCCAAAATAAAGCATTGACGACAGAGAATGTTTTTTTTTAGAAAATCTTTTCGCTGGTATGACATCGTGTATTGACGTTAAAATAGTCTTAAATGAAATAATGGCCAAAATTTGCATTTCAGGAGGAATGATCTGATGCAACAACCAATCCAATTCAAGGTCGAACGAATAAGATGTTAGTCACTTGTGGATGAATTTCGGAGTTATATACTGGTGTTATGTAGAAAGATATTGAAAGCTTCACGATTAAACCAATCAGTTAAAACGGCAATTTCGACAAAAATCATAGTTCATTATCTTAATCTTGATTTTACTCATAGTCAATTGTTATAATTAGTATTTCTGGTTTACTATCCTACATACACACTACTAATTAAAAGTATTTGGATATTACTGTACGATAAATTATAAATTAGGCACTAATTTTTACGAATTAAATTCACTGTAAAATGTAGATGAGTAAAAGGAAACTTGATCGAATAACCACAACTATGTACTCCAATCATTAGTTACTAATGTTATTCACAACAGAAAACAAATAAAAATAGGACATCTAATCATGTAACAGTACGAATCTAATGCCGTCAACTAAAAAATGATTAACTTTATTGAAGTAGACAAAAACACACACTTACCGGTCTCTTGATTCCGTTCAATACAATAACATGCATCGTAAAAGTTTGTAAAGTCACAACTCAAGTCGTACAAATAATCGCATAGGCTATGCAATAGAAAGTCATTTTGAATTTTTAGTAGAATATCTGGTAGACGACATAATGCCTTGGCTAATGTCAACTCCATAGGATGTTCAAATTTCAGTGGTACTGTTTCACTAATTTCATTGATTGTTCTTTCAGAATAACCCGCATTTCTTATAATTGATCTGTAAAATAAAACCATATAAGATAAAATAATCATAGGATTGGCTTGTGTGAAGTTAGTGCACGTTTTGGGTGATTTAGAGCTTAGACAAAAATATACAGTGATATTTCAATACGACGATAACTCTATTGTGTTTCCGAAAAAAATTACTTGGAAATCAACGAGTCACATCAGTGATAAACATTTTTAAATGGAAATAAATATCAGTTTTGTATGTGAAATGAAATATTAGTAATGTTATCCCATACCAAAAGTTACCCTTTAAACGTATCAAAATGCATCGAAACAATACTGTATTAGCTTCTTTTTGACAATCATAACACTACTAAAATAAACATTTGGTGTTGGAGTGAAAAACAAGTAATTCTATGCAAAGAAAATAGTCAAGGCAGTATTTCCTCAGTCAGCAACCTTTGTAATAATAATCTTACTATATAACCAGGTTTTTTCCTAAATGTTGCGCTATTGTATGCCATAGCCATCTGCCAAACAAATTTAACCAAATTACATCATGTTTAATTGGAAAAGTATCTTAACTGCTAAATAGAAGCTGCATTGATTCTACGACATTACTCCTACTTAAAATACAATTAAGCGGGATGTACTTTAAAAAAATTAGGCAGTAATAAATATCTTACGCATTTTTATGGTTCACACTACTGAGGGCTCAGACAAAAAGAATATACTGTGATAAGATCGAGCATTAGTGGGTGGTGACCATCAAAAGGGTGCATATTGATAAAGGTGATCAGTGAAAAGGGTAATGACATTATTGATGGTGTGAAACATGTTCGATTTACCCTTGGTCCCTTGACCTTACGACTAATCAAAAACAGCTTGTTATGCTAATGAGGATTTATATATATATATATATATATATATATATATATATATATATATATATATATATAAAGTAATTACCTGATCCGTGTATATGCGTATAACAAGTAAACTGCAGTGTTTCCTTTATCATCCAACATCTGAAATTCACATTTAAAAGTTAAAGAACAAAAATTTTAATTTTTATTCAGTGATTTGTTTGACATTTCAACAAGATCTAGACAAATTTCAGTGAAAAACTATTCACAGAAAGCGGTTGAATATTCAGTGTACTTCGACATTAATTCGAATGGGTTGTAACAACTTAGCTGTTAAATGACTAGAAACTTCGGTTACTGGGTCGTACGTTCGAACTCCGCCCCACTTTTGTTTTAGCTAACCAGATAGTATCAGTGCTCTGAGTACATGATAGATTACTTCCTAATTGCTGAGTTACATCATTAATTAAAATCCTTTTGAACTAAAAATTAAGCACTCAGAAATCTGGAAACCCCGTTTGTCTCCGTATTTTACCTATTACTAAACTATTTTTTGTTTGCTTTTCACATTTACGTATATATATATATATATATATATATATATATATATATAACTTGCTTATACTGACACTTATCTTTGGTTTCCTATATCCTTATTACTGATTCTCCAGTATATACTAGTTAATTTAGTTCTTATAATCTGTATTGTTTTTAGCACTCAGATTCACAATATTCCTGGCACACATTTTAATAAATTAACAGATCACTTAGTCAAATAGTATACTGATACTAGTTAACACACAGGTAGGCAATTTTAAAAGACATGAGAAATAGTAATGGTTTTTTTTTATTTTTTACATAGTGATATCTATGGTATATACAACCTAACAGATTAAAACATAACGTCAGTTAATATGAATTAAGCTTAGTAACACAAATATTGAATCTACAGACATTAAAATATCTTGAAATCAGTGAAAATTTCTTTATAAAACAGCGTTCAACTAAAGGATATAGTTTATGAAGACTTCTTGCAATAAAACGTAACATCTTAGAAAATATCAGATTATATTTGCATTTACTTTTTCTTGAAAGAACTAAAACTTATTCAATTTGGAGTATTTTTCAGTAATTGTTTAATATATGAAATACACTAAGTGATCCATTGAAGATTTAATATACAGTGAGACGGTCAAAAGGGGTCTTGTGAAGATAGGATAATCAATCGCATCCTAAATGGATTATTTTATGGAAAAGTAGGCTTTTTTAATGAGAAAAACAGTATCACATAACGACCACTTAAATGAAGCTGTTACCCATCAATGGGATTGTAGAACGGTTGCAAAGCTGATTGAAGTTAGAAATGTAAACCAATGGATCCCAGGCAAATGGTTAAAAATAGAGGCTCGCCACAATACATGAATACCCTAGGTCTGATCTCTGGTTGGGTGTGCACTGTTGTTTAGTGCTTCCTTGTTTTCAATAACACCTGGACTGATATTAATGTGTGACAAATAAAACGTGTAAATTATACAGCGAAATAGTTCGTTCAATTTTAAGGACTAACATAAATTTCGATTTTTAATATCAACTAAGGTTTCAGTAACCAATGTATAAAAACTACATAACTATTAACTTTAGCTATTAGACATTATTTTATAAAATGGATTGAACTGTTACCAAATATTTTTAATAAAGATAATAACAGATCACTTTTCTCCTACATATCACCATTACTTACCCTATCGAATGAGAATACATAGTCAATTGTTCGACTATGTGATAAATCAGCATACTTAATACAACCATATGCTACAGCCTTTTGAGCTCGTTCAAATTCAGCTTCAGTTAGCTCCTTTAAAAAAGAGGGAAGAAAATAAAAGAACAGAAACATAAGATCTGCAAATAGAAGAGAGTTTATTGTCCTACTCTCTGTACGTTTAATACTATAATGTTCAGTACTAAATGCCCAATGTCGGATTAATTTTTATGCTTGGGAAAATAATTATTTGGGAGGAGGACATGAAATATATGAAAACTAGATGATAATAAATTGGAAAGCCTTCGAATTTAAAACAGGATACATTTCAATTTTAACTAGGATTTCTTAAATTAACTGGACAGGGGAATACGTATGTCATATAAAATATAGATTATCTAGAATTACACAAATGTACACATTTATCTGAGCCCTCAGCATATCAGACGAAAAGACAAACCCTAGTATTGGGATAAATGACTAACTGTGCTATCGCAATATATCCACGACAAAAATCAAGTTTTAAAATTAATATTAGTATTACTACTGCATCGAAGTTTGTGATAGCCACCAATATATACAATGAGCCTATCAATTATATGATTTTTATTACTCTACAGGTTTAGTTGGATTATATGATGGGTTTGAATGTGTTAAAAAACAACACCAATAAATTAGCCTGTAACTTCACCAAGTACACATTTACGTATTTGGCCTTAAACTAAAATTTTTACATAAGATCTAGTTATACTAGCCTGTTGCCTAAACGGAAGCAGACGAGGCTGGGTTCGAACCTGCGGTTGTCAAACTTTTTAATCACAAATCTACCGGCGTACATATAACGCTCAAACTTCTAAACCATATGAAAGGACTCAAGGTGCTCATTAACTGCTATATATATACAGCGATATGTGACCGAAAATCATGAGAGTTATTTCAATTTCAAAATATCTCACTTTATTCCTTTCTTTCTCAAGCAATCGGTTCTTTGCTCGTTCAAGACCTTCATCCAATAAATCGACAAGACGAACTGTGTCACCGGAACGAGTTTTAAATTTTTTCCTTAATAAATAATCCAAGGAAAATGTATTCCACCGATAAAAACAAACAAATAAGTTTAAACATGATGGTAAGAAAAATAAGTGACTGAGAAAAACTTCACTGTACCGTGCTTTTTAAGATGACTAATCTAGTATTCTGGGGTCCAATTAATCTTTCCCATATAACTATAAATACGAATGTACAGCTTGAGTAAATGATTTCGTTGAAAAGAAAATCTTCTTCGCTGAATTATCTTTAGTTTCAATCACTGGTTGTTAAACAGCGAATATGAGGGGCAGCTTGATTTTCCATGTACGAAAGTCTCATGCGTTAAACAGTGTTTCATTTAATCACGGTATTCCATGTGTCTATTTTTTTTATTATCACATTGATTAATGAACGTTCTTTAGTAAGTACTACTAATCCAATTATGTGGTAGTATTCTTGACACACTGTGTAATTGTAAACTATGTTGGTAAACAATGTTTTAGCCGGTTAATATGAAGGTTTGAATTGGTGAAGATTTATTAAGAAAGTTGGTATGATCTATAGTCCGAAAAAACATCTGGTTACATTTCCGATTCATGAATAACATAGTTTAGTGGACCAATGAATTCTTAGAAATTTGCAAATATCATATAAAAACTAAAAATGAAGTAAAAAACGTACCTATCTTCACCCAGCACCACACCGAATCCAATGTGTTGAACTCTGTGTACATTAGGATTATAATAACCAAGCATTTCTGCACCCGCAAATACCGTGTTAAGATGAACAGACTAAAATAAAGCAGCACATTAATACAGAAAGTTATATTAATTACACAAGTGGTTGTTGATATTTTACATAACTGAACGTCTCGTAAATCCTACATTGTAGAAACAAGTCATGATTCAGACACTGAGTAGTATTTTTTTTAGATAAGAATGGTAACAAGTAAAACCGATGCCCTAAATTAGAACGTTGAAATTTGCTATCAAAAAACAGTCGTGGGATTGTTAAATTAGTAAACTTCATGCCTACCGATTGATAATATGCAGCAATATAATGTGGCCTAGTGATAACTGGTTATGAGGTCGAATTATTGATGTAAGTATCCCACTCCCCCAATGAAACGATACCAGACGACAAAACAGTTGCTCAGTACACGAGGTTTTTTCTAATAAACAGAACATTTCTATCCGCAAAACGTTAACACGACTAGGTGTCATAAATGGTTAAACGGTATTATTTTGCAGATAATTCACTCCGGTAAATTAAGACCTTGAGCATCATGTCGCTTCCCTCTTCCCATACAACGACCTGGGATCCTTTCGTGTCAATATTGTGAGACACTTTAATATGCCTCATATATTCTTCAGTTCTCATGAAAATCATTTTTCTGTTTTACCTACCGACTTCAGTTGCACTATTGACACGAAATTTAAAGCATCTCTTAGTTATCTCCTGGTTGCTAAATAGACATGAATATTTAATCTTTCTTTCTGTCACTAAGCAGAGATAATTTGGGAGAGATTAGTGACCAACTTATGCATAAATGAATTCCACTTACCTGACCCATGTCCACAACATACAAGACCCAATCCGCCTTTTCTTCGTGCAAACGCTGAAGTAAAGCAGTTAAGTCAGATGTATCATAGGTAAAACCACCATCTGATTTTACAACTGTGAGAGGAACTTCGCATTTGGGTGGCCACAAAATTAATCTACCCTCATCTTCCTGCAGAACATTCTGACTTTTTAGATCATTAACAAACTCTTCCATTCGACTTTGATAAAACGATTCTCCACGCTCAATAAGATTCTCAATACCCAGTCGACGGTATACATCGTCGAATTCTGAAAATAGAATAGTGAGATGATAAATTTGTATTAAATATAATGACAACCAGCGTTAGATCCATTAATCGCAAAAACTGATTGTTGGCTGGTAACGAACTTCATGTCTTCCTGTTCTTACTGATGACTAAACTCCACCGAAACTGGGTGATATAGTTTTCAGTACTATAGCGACCACAATTTTACCAGAAATTGAGATTGCGCTTCGCTGACGAGTATTAACTAACGAGAAACCTAACCCAGTGATTTCCGCAGATTTCATCCAGCCACTCAACATATAATAATTAGGTATGAATGTATACACACACTAGTTTCCAGTGCAAATGTGAACCTATGAAAAATCAACTAAAAATCATGAATAAAACACCGTTTATGTTAACAATATGTTTATAAATACAAAATTAATATCTGTCGCGATTATCGTCTTATTATAATACAAAAAATTAAACGGCATTATTTAAAGAGTACTTACAGACTTGTATTCGAATCGATTTATTCATGAGTTAACCACTTTGTAATCATGTGGTACTGTGATCCAACTATGCCTACAGTGGGGTGAAGAGGTAATCCAGCCTCATGTACTTTGGATATGTCATATAGTCTAGGTAGTATAGGACCTGAGAGTATTAATTTGTCGAGCTTTTTGGATGTGATTAAAGAACTGTTTCCCGTTCCCCTTACTATATCCGTAGGCCATTATCAGATTATATCGGTTTCATTCCCTTCTTCACCAGGCTTAGAAAATTTACTGATGTCAGGTAGTGAATTCTTCATTTTATATAAGTAGTTTTGCATGTATAGTACCCCCAAGACCAGAAAAAGTATGTATCAGAAAAGGATTTCGTATCTGATATTAATAAATTTTCGGAATCTGGTAAGGGAATAAACTTGATAATTATGATAAATCTAGTGATTACACTGTGACAATAATATATCGCATTATGCTTGTACTATGAAAAGCACCCCCAAATGCCCTGGTACGGCCGAGAGTGGGGAGAGTCAGCTCTTCCTCTCGAAATGCTCTCACATGGCCACGCGCATAAAACAGCTGCCAAGAAAGTCCTACTCACTGCCCTCTCGTGGCGGGGCTGTCGTTTACGAAGTGGAGAGAACGAAAAGTGAATGTCCGGCGCTTTACCGGTTGGTGAACACGGAGAGTCCACCTAGGTGAGTTGGCGGACCCTGATTCCAAACCAATGATGTACATGGACGTCTGCGTGCATCAAATAAATTGATACAAGATCTTCTGTCTATCGATGGATTAGAATCTTTTCTCACAGTAATTGATTATTTTTATATATACAATTATTGTTTTTATTTTATAATGCTTTTGATAACTATTTTGTAATGGTTTGATTATGTAATCGTTTGAAAGAATTGCATTCTAGAATTCTATGTTGTTTTGGATATGAAATCTAAGTGCTATTTAGAGTTAAAATACCTTTGAAGAATTATGTCAGTAACTTGCTTACTAAGTCCCTAGGTTTTTGTACTTCATTTTGAGCCACTAAGCTTAGTGCAAAACGATTTGAACCTATAATATATTGAATAAAAGTAAAACTTTCTAAGCAATAAACTCAGCGTTTCATCCGAAATTTCGATGCTATATCGACTAATTAAAAAATTTTCGCTCTATAAGCGAGCCGATTCGATCTATTTTTCTTGTCATAAGATGATATAAAATGTCTGTAATAATTCAGTATATGTTGTTACATTGCATCATTCAAATTATTCTATGCATTATCCTCCCACAAATGCCCTGGTACGGCCGAGAGTGGGGAGAGTCAGCTCTTCCTCTCGAAATGCTCTCACATGGCCACGCGCATAAAACCGCTGCCAAGAAAGTTCTACTCACTGCCCTCTCGTGGCGGGGCTGTCGTTTACGAAGTGGAGAGAACGAAAAGTGAATGTCCGGCGCTTTACCGGTTGGTGAACACGGAGAGTCCACCTAGGTGAGTTGGCGGACCCTGATTCCAAACCAATGATGTACATGGACGTCTGCGTGCATCAAATAAATTGATACAAGATCTTCTGTCTATCGATGGATTAGAATCTTTTCTCACAGTAATTGATTATTTTTATATATACAATTATTGTTTTTATTTTATAATGCTTTTGATAACTATTTTGTAATGGTTTGATTATGTAATCGTTTGAAAGAATTGCATTCTAGAATTCTATGTTGTTTTGGATATGAAATCTAAGTGCTATTTAGAGTTAAAATACCTTTGAAGAATTATGTCAGTAACTTGCTTACTAAGTCCCTAGGTTTTTGTACTTCATTTTGAGCCACTAAGCTTAGTGCAAAACGATTTGAACCTATAATATATTGAATAAAAGTAAAACTTTCTAAGCAATAAACTCAGCGTTTCATCCGAAATTTCGATGCTATATCGACTAATTAAAAAATTTTCGCTCTATAAGCGAGCCGATTCGATCTATTTTTCTTGTCATAAGATGATATAAAATGTCTGTAATAATTCAGTATATGTTGTTACATTGCATCATTCAAATTATTCTATGCATTATCCTCCCACAAATGCCCTGGTACGGCCGAGAGTGGGGAGAGTCAGCTCTTCCTCTCGAAATGCTCTCACATGGCCACGCGCATAAAACCGCTGCCAAGAAAGTTCTACTCACTGCCCTCTCGTGGCGGGGCTGTCGTTTACGAAGTGGAGAGAACGAAAAGCGAATGTCCGGCGCTTTACCGGTTGGTGAACACGGAGAGTCCACCTAGGTGAGTTGGAGAACCCCGATTCCAAACCAATGATGTACATGGGCTCCAGGATTTTGAGGGAAAAAATGGTATACGAATCAATTATTAGTCACTGGCTACCATGGTACTGCATCTCCTCACGTTGCTCCACTGTTTTGTGAATCAGACCTTTAGGTTGAAGGTTACAGGTGTGGCACCTAAGAAAACCACCTGTTTCGGTCTGAGCACCAGGGCAGTATCACAGCCCACACACAAATCAAATGGGATTTGTGTGGTGCATATGTATTCAGTGCTCCTTTGTACCAATATTTATGTTTTCAAATAAATAAAATAAATAAGTACTATGAATAGGTTTCAATTACACACCTTTTCGTGATATGTCACAAATTTGTTTCCAGGCATGTACATACTCAGGATCATTTTGTTGAAGTTTAACAACGGCCACATGTGCTCTTTGATTAAAATCTTTTTCTTCATCAAATCTAGTTTTGGAAGTTTTATAAAAAGCTTGAAGGTCTGATATCGGAGGTGCAGTTTTATGATCAGGATATATTTCTTTTAAATGGGTTATTAACATCCCAAACTGTGTTCCCCAATCTCCAAGATGATTGAGTTTCAGTACTTTGTGACCCAAAAATGAAAGCAAACGGGAAATACTTTCTCCAATAATGGTTGATCTGTAACAGAAAAATAACACCAAGTAAACGTGTCGGATAGTATTATTAATACTGCATTCCTCTTTACTTGTCTTATATTCTCATTATTTTATTCATAAATGTTCATCATATCACCTTACTGATTTTACACCTCTATGACCTTTAATTATTGCAACAAAAACATTTTAATCATCTTATGATATTCACTAAATCTATTGTTATAATTCGTATTACGTAATCTAGTATTATAATATTTCTATTACGTCATCTTGGTTATTCGTGTCCACATTTCCTCATGGAATTAATACTTTAACAAAAAGATTTTCACACATATATACGATTGTACAGCTTGATAAAAAAATCGTTGAAAAGACATCCCTTCGCTGAACTTCGTGTTTTCAATTTTTTATGTTTAAATTGGAATTATCTGGTAATATCTGAGCACTAAACAGTTTAATATATGTTTACTGAAATGAAGTTTGTTTCAAATTCATTTCTTATATAACGACACTCTAACTCCTGAAGCGCCACAGGAAACCTACACCCTCAGCTAGTTTTAAGGATGGTGGTGAAAATTTAGTGAAGTAACTGACGGGGTTAATTGGAAAGTTCGGGAAATCGAGTGTTCCAACACCCATGAATGAAGCGATTGTCGTCCACATCATTAAAAAGCACCTAATTCATCCATACATATTATGAGGGGATAAGTCTACTTTCGGTCGTCTCCAAACTGTTGGCTCCAGTGTAGGATCGGCCCGTAGGAGGAAAGCTGCTTTTGGTCAATTTTCGGATGTATTAATGATATTTTCACTCTTTGCCGGATGTTAGAGAACCGCCACATCAACTCCAGACGAACGGTCGTGTTTCTTGATATCAGAGTCGCCTTCGATCCGACTGGAAGGAGCCTATGCCTGTCCTCAGTGGTCGTAGTGAGGCATCAGTAATCGTAAATTTTGCGTGCCTGGGTAGGTGCGTGCGTACTGGTAGTGACATGATTAATAAGACCAATCTAAGCATAATCAGAGCCAGAGTGACTCATGTTAGGTCAGAGCATATTCGGCGACGTTTAGATGTTAGTCTGGTTGTAAAATTTTGTGACTACAACGCGCTGGTGAAGGCAATTCTGTTTTGTGCTTGAACAACCTGGTCCTTCTGAGTTATGATGTTCCGCAGTTTTTCGTATTCGATCACCGTCTTCGAAGGGCTGCTGACATCCAGTGGCAACAATGCCAATAATGCTAAGGTTTTTAAATGCGTATTTGAGCGCACTGACGATAACTTATTTAGTGTCACCAACTTGAAACACCGGCTTCCGTGGCTTGGAAGTGTTTTACGATATCATCCTGAAGACTTCTACATCTTGAAATATTTGCTGGTGCTGGGAAAGGATGGAAGAGGGGGGATGGTCAGTTTATGATATGGCGCAGTGGTATGAAAGAAAGTTGTACAGGACTGACATATTTTGACCCATCACGACTTAATGGTTGTACTCCAAAAGGTGATGTAATTCAATGGCCTGAGATATTATCGTACATAGCTTAAAGCAGAAGCCAATAGCGATCTTGTAGTATTTTTCTTTAAAATTCTTCATACAGAAATGAACAGAACCCCCTCGACTGAATTTTTTTTGGTTGTTTTTAGCTGAACTGTTTCTCCCACCATATACTACCACTGTAAATTTGTTTTTATCCACTTATTTGTTTTTCATTATCCTACTCCTCCTCAACGTATCTCTTCACAAGTTCATTTTCTTACTTGTGTGACGCATATTTAATTTGATGACCAATCGTACCAGTATTTTGTGTATTAAGTAAATATGGTGATACAACTTAAGCAGGACAATGGTGTGGCATTATTTGGTTGATAAAGTTAGAGACAGAATTTTTTATCTTTATTAGCCATTTCAGAGTGACTCCGGTAGTCCTGAATTCGCTTGCAAAGTTTAATAGATGTAATTACAAATAAACATTTACATAAAACAGTCCACTTGGAGAATAACACTAGACAACTATGAAATAGATTTAATAGTTTAGTAAGCTTTATTTTGTATATGTTCAGATGGGATTTAAAAATAACTCTCTAACAAACCTTGTATTAGGTCAGTCACTAAATGATGATAGATGTAATTTAGTGCACTTGCATTCTGTAAGCGATTCGCTGAACTTTACTTTGATTGTCTAAACCTATTCATGGCAAACTAAATAATCAAAATCTACTGATTTAGTTAATAAATATTAGTGAACGAGTATGGTTCAATATAGTTTTTAAATAACAAAATTTGTAAAGTTCACGGGATATAGATGATATGCCGACCCCTACAATTCCCCTAGATTGATGTTCTATTGTGAGTCGTTTGGATGTTAATTATTGAAGGCCACTTTAGAAATAATTGCTCAGAAGTGCAAATCTGAAGTGTTTGTTTTAGTTTTCTGTGATGTAAATATATTGACACTTGAAATCTCAATTTCTAAGTTCGTAGGTTCATATTCCACTGCACCTATTTTGGTACGGGCAATTGGATAGTATTTCTAGTCCTTACAATATGAAAGTAGTTTAAAGAACACAAAATTCTGTACTTAGTTACTGTACTGCATTAACTTATTAATTGTCGCAAGATTATGTTTAGTAAAAATAACCGTTAAAAAGAGACTTCATGGAGTGTACTTACATTAAAGGTGCTTTCATTACTAGTTGAAACAACCTATACTCACTGTAAAGGTGAAGTATAGTTTACTGTGCAACTTTTTAAATAACACTTTAAATAAGTGTGATTATGGAGTGAGATGAATCATGCTATAGAGAGATGAAAAATACTACAAACAGCTCAAACCATATCGTATGAGGTGGATGATGAATCCGTGGAAGGAAATAATTGATAACAGTATAGTTTACTGAGCCATAGCAACAAACCCAAGATGTAAGTCAGGGTAGTGATATTCGAAGTGATCGCAGTGATTTGAGACCAATCGGAAAAGTCATTTCTAACAAGGAAAGATTGTTATAAGGGAGGGAACTACACATATTCCTAAGTGATGACGGAGTTACAGGAATAGTGCTATAGGCTTGACATAAGTAATGGTGCCTCTAAGTTTTAAACTAGAATTAATTAATGTAATTTAGATACCAAGTAGAAGATCGTATCCCCGGTTTGAACCAAACTTTAAGAAAGCTGGTAGTAACTGGCTATTCAAACGTAAGTAGGTGTAGCAGAACTTAAGTCTGATAATTAACGGTGTAAACTTGGGCGCAACTAAGAATAAATAAATCGTCAGATGTTTATTAAAATATAGAGAAACTAGTAGACGGGACTTTATGAAGCCCAATTTATACTGATAATAATGCAGACTACAAACCATTTTTGCCTAGAAAATACAGGACTTGCTCCAGTTTGAGCACCTGGGCAGTATCGCAGCCCACACACAAATCAAGTGACTTGTGTGGCGCATATGAATTCGGTGCCCTTTCGTACCAATATTTATGTTCAAATAAATAAATAAATAAGGGAATCAAAGAGTAGTTTTTAGCAGAATTATAAGATGACACGAAGTACGAGAAACTTAGCCGACTAGGTTCAGAAACTTTTTGACAGTCCATAATCATGGATATACAAAAGTAAGCTTTCTATTTCTGCTGATTTTCTTTGCGCCTAATAATTAACAAGGTTGGAACACAAGTTAGGCCCAAAAAATAGGCGAAAGAGTTGATACTTCGTTACGACTCTTACCTTAGATGTCCTACATGCATTTCTTTGGCGATGTTTGGAGAGGACATATCGACAATCACAGAGTATTTATGAGGTATGAATGGGGGTGTAACCCCATGAAGTAAAATCTTTCTGACTTCAGTAGAAATGAATTGTTGTTTAATCCAAATGTTTATGAAGCCAGGAAGAACAACGTCCACTCTTTCAATTAAGTCATTGACAGGTAAAGCGGCAACGATAGATTTTGCAATATCAAATGGATTTTGATCACTGTTCGACTCCTGAGCAATAGTGATATTATTCAGTACATACTTTTCGAATGCTAAGAGCAGAGTTGCACTGATAATCCCCAAAACTGCGCTTATTGGGAACATTGAGTTGTACGTAGTGTTTAGTATTTATGAACACTGTTTTTATAGCGTAATCAAACAAAGCAGCTACGGTAGCTTGGATACTTATAGAATTATACCGCACATGGTTTTCCAATTGTTTCAGATACTAAAACAGTGAACATTATACTTTACTACCTTTTCCAGATGGCTTGCTTGATACCGTAGCTTTTCACCTTCTTCCAACAGTTTTTTAATTTCAGAAAAATTGGCGGACTGGAGAAGTTTATCATATTCGTTTTGTAAGCACCTAACTTCTTTCCTCTAAAAAATAAACACTAATTTCCAAAGAACGATACGAACCTGAATAGAATTGGAAGCCATCTTACTAACCAGCAGACTGCTCGTTACTGCAAATGACCTAGCCGTGTTGAAATTCCCACTTCATTCACCGAAAATAATCAATATCTAAAATGTATATCAATCGATTTGCTTGTGTCCTTCATCCTGACATCAAGTAATGATTCTATATTCTTCATAAAGTTTAACCATACACCTGAGTGCAATATTTTCTGTACCTTGGTATATTCAAGTACTTAAAATTGGTTAAGAAATGAATAAGAGAATCTTTCATTTAACGAGTTTCTGTATCTTCAGTCTTCGATAATAAGGATAGTAGGTTGGTGAATCTGTAATAATCCTGATAGATTGCTTTCCAGTGAAGGTTAGAATTCCCCTTGAAAATATTCACTGATGTGACTGATACCAGTTGTTCGGGTAAGGCGTTCCAGTCATTGACTACTCGACTAGAAAAACGGCACACCACTTTAAGTTTAGTAGATCGCGGTCTGTGAGCCTTCTTTCTGTGAGCTCGGAAATTAGTTGTTCTGGAGGTAGGAGGAGGATGAGACATATTAACACCTAGTAGCAAAGGATCACCGGAGCTTCTTTGAAGTGACCAATATATCTGAAATATGGACATATAAAGGAAAATTTGGTGAGCCGATTTGAGGTGCCCTTTTTGGTGTCAAAAGTGTCAGATTTCCTCTTAATGAACTCCAAAGATCACTTTAGATGATAGGGCAATGTAAGAATTGAGTAGACAGTACGTCCACAAAGACACTTGACAATTTATAGTCTCAGATTGCGAGCGTTTCCTATTACGTGTGTGTTGAGATTGAACGTGAAACAGATGCTTATAAGATGCCTAATAGGGCGTCGCTCACCATCACATGGCTGCTTCTTAGTCTCTTGTATTCTAGGGCGTTGTGGAATTAGTTGAAATTGAATTATTTTGTAAACAAGTTTTGTTATTTTTCCCAATTATCATCGCTCCACATAATTTGTCGAAATACTACTACTGAACGTAAAGTGGTTATTTTAATTTGACTTTAATCTTCCTCTCACGGCACACTGATTTTTCGCTCATAAATACACAGCGGCACACACACTTCTCGTTTTTTAACCGTCGCAATAACAAACATATAATACATTTTATGTCTATCTCCTCATAACACACTGATACCCCTATCACGTGATTATTCCGGATGCGCATTATCTTGGATTATATATATCATATTATTAACTATTGACTATTTGCGGATAAAAAGACCGAATCTCAGACACACTTCTCACTTTCAGTTTGATTACCGTGGCAAAGTTTTCTTGTGTGTGGTTATATTTGTCTATATTGTCAATCGCCTTTTTAATTTATGGAATAACTCCATTATCATTTTGGCATTGAGATAACAAACTGAATTCGCGACGCATGCTTTGATACATTCCGAATGAGTAGGGTCAATCGGTCGCGTTTGCCAGTTAGATGGGTCAAAATAGTGAAATAGATAATTTTCTAATCCTTTCACCTAAAGTGATTATCCTTGACGCAATTCTGTTTTTCATCCGGTCTGAAGAATAACATTACATTGTGTACTGCAGGGATCACTTTGGGATTCTCCTAGTTGATGATCGAACAGTATGAGAATTCGGAATGGTTTTTACCAAATAAAATGTTGTAGATTGAGATGGGTCTGTAGAAATATGGTCTACTTCGGTACTAGTACTGCTCTAATAATAGACCTAATAATAATAATGTACATTTGTCATGATGTAACTGCCTAACTGTGATGATTAGGCGTATTTGAATTATAGTACGAACTAGGAATCCAAGAAATACTAGACAAGCACGAACGAATGTACTGTACTTAGAATTCGAAATCAAGCATTTAACAAGTACAAATGAAGCATTAGTTCATTCAAACACCACATCCGTCACAGCTTAAATTGGAGTGTAAGTGTCTGTAATTGAGTGTACGGTTTTTTCTTACGTTCATCCTGAGTCTGTCCGACATGGTATTGGATAAAAAATCTATATTTTCTAAAATACACTCATCAGTATTAGAATTAACAACCGAAGGGATTCTGAGTTTCATTTAACTCTGAACTACTATGTGACTCTACATTGTCTTTTGAAATCGCTGATAAAGATAAATGATCATTACAAATACTCAAATTAATAGAATCGGAATTACAATAATTAATATTAGTTGCAGCAAGATTAACAGTAGTATTACAAACTGACCGAATACGTCCAATATCACCTCATTAAGGCTCTTAGAATTACGAAGTTTACATGAATTAAATGAGTGGAACCTGCCACAGGACAAACATCGACCAAAGTTGTGCTCATCTTTGTGAACTGCATAGCAACTCCTCAATGAATTATCTGTATATCCTTCGGTATGCACTGAGTTGAGATGACGTAATGTAGTGAAAATTTTCGTATCCTCATGAATTATTTTACGAGATCTCCTTCCTTTACCGCATTCGAAATCTGTTTACTTAACACAGTCTAGCAGCAGTTCCTTGAGAGTTGTATAAGAAAGCGAGATAGGCTTTTCCGGCATAGCCAGAGTTCTTAGTAAGCTGTACGCTTTTTTCCAATGAAAGTGAGGAAATGTGCTACCATATTGTATGTGGTGACTTCAATCTTCTCACCATCAACTGCAAAACACATTCTGGCCCATTGTGCTTTGAAAGCATACTTAGGTCCTTAGACATACACGGGTGGCAACAACATGTACACCTGCCTACACGAAATCACAACATTCTTGACTTGATATTCTGTCATAATGTCACACCAACATCAATGGTGGTTGGCGAAAAGTTTCACAACAGCGATCATAAAATAGTCCTCTGCACCCTTCCGATTCTTGCCATATGCAACAAATTAAAGACATTAAACACGCGATTCCAATATAGAGACTATGCAAACACTGACTGGGAAAACTTTCGATTTCTAATAAAGCACTCTGACTGGGGCAGTTTCTTTACCAGTATTAACCTCTTAGAAACATTATAAATATTCAATATCTTCACCAAATCTGCACTAGACACTACTATACCCTCTAAAATTGGTTGTAAAACAGTTACTCCCTATATAAACCAAAAGACTAGGTCTAAACTGCGAAAACTGAAAAGGATGTACTATATATCAAAAGACTTCAGTGCCCTGCACCAGATATACTCTGTACTTGACGGAGTACAGAGTCAACACAACAAGCATAAACAGGTAGATGAACGTACTGCGCTCGCTGCTGCATCTAAAGCCCAAGTCCTATATCGTCTCTTCACGAAACGCATAAGAAAGAACACAGACCACAACATTCACTCCTTACTGCACGATGGAGTAACGTATAATGACCAAACCGTCATATGTGAACTATCAAGTGAATGGTTTTCTCACAATGGGAATACATCTGATGCTCCAGATATCGACATAAAGTGCACCGGCAAAAACTATCTTAGTACCATAAACTTCGACATTATGAGTATACATACCGCCATTAAAACCCTTAAGCCAAATGCGAATTCTGGTGTCGATGACATCCCTTCAATCGTTTATATAATGTCAGGACCGGACATACAGACGCTACTACTCAAAATATACACATTATCTTTAGAGACAGGTACATATCCGGAAACCTGGAAGGTAACGTATGTTCTTCCCAAACACAAATCCGGACCGAGAAACCTGGTTGAAAACTACAGACCTATAAATATCACTCCAGTCATATCACGCATAATGGAAAAAGTGATACAAAATCAACTATCTGATCACCTACTCAAGGAAGATCTAATAGACCCGTCACAACACGGCTTCATTAGAACAAGGTCGTGCAGTACATGCCTGATAGACTTCTTTAACGAGGTTACTCGTTTACGTGACCAGAAGAAACTAGTTATTATACTATACTTCGATATTAAGAAAGCCTTTGATAAAGTACCTCATAATCTTCTAATCAACAGACTGAAGTCAGTTGGAATTATAAATCCCCTTTTGCAATGGATCAAGTCTTTTCTTACGAACAGATATCAAATAACCAAGATTAACTCTAATACATGTACACCTCGACCGATAACCAGTGGTGTTATGCAGGGTAGTGTCTTGGGCCCATTGCTCTTTATAATCTACATCAAAAATATATGCAAGTGTTTTAGCACAGGTAAGACCTACCTCTATGCCGATGACTTAAAAGTCATCTATAAAACTGACATTTGCGATTTACGTAGTACTGTGCAAACAATCCAACATGAACTCAACATGGTAGATGACTGGTGCAAACGCTGGAGGTTAGAGCTCAACATAGAGAAATGCGGCTGGTTATGTATAAGAGACACGTCTCTTAAAATGAAACTAACACTTAGCAATCACACACTGCCCAGACTGGCATCAGTAACTGACCTAGGGGTACATTACTCACACAGTCTTAATTTCTCTGAACCCATCTCAGCCAAAGCATCCAAAATGCGGAAATTGCTTGGCTTCATTCTCCGTAATTTCTATCAAAATGAATCTAAAATCCTTCTTTACAAAGTTTGTGTAAGACGTATCGTTGAATACTGCTCGTTCTTATTTTCCAACCTACGCCTATCTGATATACTAAAGGTGGAAGGAATACAACGAGACTTCACCCGCAAAGTACTTAAGATTGACTCGGTCATTGACTACAGTTCTCGATGCCAAATCTTAGGAATAGCACCCCTTTGGGAGAGAAGGCTTAGGTCTAATTTGATTCTCTACTTCAAACTACTCAAAAACCTTACTTATTCAACATGTCAGATAATTCTTGCCCGAGAGTCACATGAATACGGACTTCGAAACAAAGTATCTACGGTCAAAGTTGAGAAATACAGATCAAAAACTCGGGAAAACTTCTTCCTCACCAAGTATGCAATAATATGGAACAGTCTTCCCTCCGAGACTCGCACGGCAGATGAACTACATACGTTTGTGAAACTGCTTGATCAAGCCCTCACTCGCACTGATCTTGTACGTACGAACACATCTGCGCCCCACCCAGACATCATAGGCTCTCTCCATGTCTAGACCAAAATGGACTTCAAGTTCAGTTTGCCTTATTTTTCCTACTTTGCAGTTGTATTAATTACTTTTTCCACT